TTACACGGTTTTACTTTCACCACTGTGACACTATCAAGAACCTCACTCTCCTGTTGGCTTGTACAGACGTTTTGGCACCTAACTCCATTTGGGTATACTACAAAAGGGAATAGGGAAATGGACCTTGCAGAGAAACACGCTACTGAAAGTTAGGTGTTTGGCACTGTTTTGTTTCACACGAGTCACAAGAACATGGGGAAGAAGTGGAAGTGCAAACATAGTTGCCAAAGTTTAGAAGAGTTTCTTGTCAGTATAATTTAATAGATTTGTAATAATGGCCTAACGTTCCTGAACTCTTCTCCAGTGCCCTTGCTGAGATACTGCATCTTGCTGCTGTCGCAAGTCCTTGCTTGTCAGTCAAATTGCCTACCATAGTCTGGCATCACTATTTATAGGTGGAGGAATATCTGGTGCTTTGCATGAGGCATTACATTAGCACAAATTACTGCTATCTAGTGGTGACATTCACCTTGGATATGCCATATCATGATGTCATTTGCTATCATGCAGTGTGTCAGATGAAGTCAGTTAGCACTTGGTGATCCCAGCAAGATGGAAATTTCCAAACCCTATTAAGAAGCCAAACTAATCTCTAATCAAAAGTTAAACTAAAGCAAATTCAGTTTGTTTCCTGACATTCTGAAAAGCTTGATTAATTCTTCATCTTTTGCATATTTTAAATTGCATACAGAAACACTAAAAGCCATTTTTAGCAAGAAGTAAATACACATTTAAAAAGCTTAGGAGTGTATAAGAAAATTAATGAAAGCGTATCTGACTATGAACATCAAATACACCACTGATTCTGCAGGAACTGCCACTGTGCATGTTTTTATTCCCAAGGACATGGCCTGCTTCTTGGCCCATCCTTCACTAACTAGTGAACTATCCTGCTACATTTCTGATTGCTAATAGTACTTTCTTTAACATGTTTTCATCCACAATGTAGTTTCTCAAAGTACATGTAATCATTTCCCAAAGTAATCTGAAGTAGTTTCTGATTTTTCTTAGAGACCAGATATATTCAAAATGCCAGTTCAGCATTGTCAGTCATCATTATATGTATAAACTCTCTTTTAATCACGAGTTTAACTAGTGAAACTTATGTTCACGTTAACAAATGGCTACAACCTCAGCAATATGGACCACTTACCTTTAACTTGAAGTCTTGAGTGGTGGCCACCTTTGGGCTGTGTTACATAAACTAGTGAAACTGATGGTGTTGGGCTGGTTTGTAACAGAGAGTGCAGGATGACACTCTTCTGTTACAGATGATGTTCATTTTCTTTGCATTCTTTTCAGTAGCAGTGCATTTGACAGTTTCCTTCTGAGTTTGCATGAGATACTAGGAATTTATGTCTTGCTTGCCTTTCTTTGGTTTCTGCTCAGCAGACAATCACTTAACATTTTCAGATAAGATTAGTTTTATCACTCTGTAGTTATGCCTCGTTCTGTACTTATGACTTGTTTTAATTTGTGTCTTGGACTTCTTTTCATACATTTTTTCTATTCCTGTAAGAACAACAATAACAAAAAGTTTTTAAAAAACGAAGCTAACTGATCAAACAGAAGAATCTTTTTCAAAATGCTGCATTTATAGTTCTGTGAGGACTGGTAAGATGAGTTTCTACAGCACTTATTGGTTGGCTGAACATAAGGCAATCAGTACTTGTATTTTGTATTTCTTTTTTTTTTTTGTCATTTGTTTTGTTATTTTTTTGATATTTTTGTGAATACAGTTCAGAAAAAATTTTCTCTCTTAATGAAGAATGAATTAATTCATTAGGATTGAAATGGACAATCCCTCCTTCTAACAAAATCTGTGTTATGTTCTGTTTTGTTTTTTACAAATCGAAATGCCATCACATTATTGAATTACTGATAAGGAAATGTTTACCTTTTAACAAAATATTAATTCTCAAATACAAATTACCCTTCAGCGTTTCCCCAGCCAGTATCAGGTATTGGTCAATCTTTGAGCTCTGAAAAGATTTAGATAACCTCTTATTTCCTGTTATATTTTATTTTACTGCCACTGTACTTTTAAGTGGCTGGCACAGTCAAAGGAAATATCTTAAAGTCGTGCAAAAAAAGAATAATTCATGCTTTATGTGACACAAGAATAAATGCTATCTCTGTACCAGTTGCTAGCGCTAATTGGCCTCCTTTCTCAAGAGCATTAACAGAAAGACAAAGAGGAATGGACTTTGAGACTAAATTGCCCTCTTGTGACTTGAGGTGATTCTTCCAACTAAGAGCTGAGATGCAGTCCATGACTGCAAGGAATCTTATGATGTGGATTGCACCTATTAAATGAAATGCATTTCCCACTATAGCTCTTAATTTAATATATTTTTTGAACTATTACATAATTATTCTAACTGATTCTACATCGATTCTGATTTCCCGGACTGCACATATCCTACTGAATCTGAAACTCTTCCACCATTATTTTTTTTTTTGTGTGTGCATTTTTTTTCCTCCCCTAACCAACACGATACATTTCTGAATTGTTAGAATATAATACTTATCTTTTTACACTTTCTAAGGAGACCCAAACACATGCACCCTTCTCACAATGAAAAGCTTCAAGGCATTTGTTTCTGTTTTCAATTTTCTCCTATTTGTTTTACTATGGTAACTTTTTTTCCAGTTACATATAACAAAGTAATTCTCCATTAGTCTACTCAGCACCAAACTATTAATGCAACTTAATACTGACACAACACTCCAAGCAACAGATGAATCAACAATTGACAACTGGGATTTTCAGAAGGGTTGAAAGCCTGATATCTCATTTTTCCAGAAGCGTTGAGCTAGAGAAACACTTGTTGAGCTACAGAAATGTCTGAAGCACAATACACTAATGAAACTGGATCCAAATTTGCCAGCCAATATTTAGAAGATAAAACCAGTGTGCAAAAGCTTTTAAAGAGAAAGCATAAGAGGAAAAGTAGGGAGAACCAGCAGGGTCTGTGGTATTGCACTTGCATGGGAGATGTGAAGCCATTCTCTGGAGAATTTTGACAGAGGTCTGAGGTGCTTACATACAGATTCATACCACCAGGCATTACCATTAGATTTCTACAGCTTCTAAAACATGCCAGTTTTTACCATACAGGTAACAAGAATTTATAGACAGTGCCTTAGAAAGCATTTTGAGATCTCACAGAGCACTTTAACTTTGATGCTATTATGATATGTTTCCAGATACTTGTCTCTCACAGGAGCAAGTGGTTGAAGGACAAGAACAATTCTGCCTTTACTTTCTGTGAAGGTTCTTTGTTGTCAAATAAGTGGTCATTTTATCTGGAAACCTCATTGAGGTAATTTGAGGTATTATCCCAAATAAGGTGGGCTAATGCCCTCAGTTATGCATCATCTTCAAAGAAATGTATTCTCTTTTTGACTACAACCCCACCTGTTTTTTCATTTTCACATGTATCTGCTATTCAAAATCGTTACAGAGCATTGTGAAGGGATCAGATAGAACTTTGAAATGAAAATGCTTCAGCTTTCCTTCAATTCAACAGGACACTGAACGTCTCAGTTTTTTGTTTTGTTTTTAAATGTTTTAATAGAACACAATAATAATTATATTGAGCAAGATAAACCTTTAAATAGACAAAAGCACCATCAGCTCCACCTGTCCCTTCTCAGGCCCAGCCCAGGCCCCATGACAACCCCAGGGCCGCCAGCCCTTGCCCCACTGAGGCCACAGTAGGGCTGGGATCCAGCACCCCACAGCTCTGCCCTGCCCAGCCATGGCCCCTGCCCAGCCATGGCCCCTGCCCAGCTGGGTCCATGCACAGGCCCATGGCCTGGCCCCAGCCCCATGGAGAGGCCTGTGCCCAGGGCAGGGACTGCACCAGTGCCCCCAGTGCCCCCCTCCTGGTGGGGCACTGGGACGGGCCGTGCCTGTGGGCCTTGTCTGGCCCCCCTGGGGACACCCCATTCTATTGGCCTCAGGGAGCTGCCAGACCCCACAGTGAGAATGAACGAGAAAGATTTCCATGTTCACCATAGCTTGTTTACTTTCTTCAGACTTGCTATTAAGCACAGAAACGTCATTGGCTTCCTGAATTACAGGGAACTCCACAGTCTCTTGTCGGTCTCTGAGGAAATCCTTCCACCATCTCTAAGGCTGGGCACTGCATCTGCTCTCAGTGAAGGTGATCTTTCAGCTCCTGCCCCAGAATCCCTCTCCCAGGCCCTGCTCCCCAAGCCCTTTTAGGAGCACATAGCAGCAAGGGGATGCTCTGTTCCCCTCCAGAAAGCCCCCATAGCTTCCCTCTTCCCTCAGCCCTTCCAGGTTGCAGCAGCCCAGGCTCATTCATTTTTTTCCTCCTGAAACTCAGCCATATTCATTAAAGAACCCCAGCGCAGTGTGCAGTATATTGATATGGTTCTGTTATTTATCACTTTCTGTTTGACAAGAGGGATACGATATACTATTAAGTAAATAATCTGTCCTGTTTAGAATTAGGAACTGTTTTTATGCTTATAACAAACAACAAACTCCTTTTCCCATGTCCCTAAGTCATCAACCTACCTTTTTTTTTTTTTTTTTTTTTTTTTTTTTTTTTTTTTTTCTGGCACAGTAGTGTGGAGAATCTCCAGAACTCCTTCCGAGAACAAGATTTGCAAACACCCTGTTTTTGTACAAATTGGGTGGTGAAATAACCATCACTGCTACAGATACACTGCATATGCCTGTGTGTGATTCAGTTCCCTAGCTGGCCTAATCAACAAAAATATTTATGTTCTCTCATGTGGCATTTAGACCTGAAGGAATATACATTTTACTCTTCTCCTTCCTATTGCTATGTCATTACTTAAAAAGTATTTTATTTTTTGAGATCTACTGTCATGCCATTCTAACTGAGATCTGCAGAGACACCTGTGCTACCCTCCTCCCCTGCCTCCTCGGTGCAGAGCACCTGTGAAGTAGCTTTGAGGGAAATTTAAAAATTAAAACCAGGAAAGTTAAGCACATCAGGGAGAGGCTGAGCTTCAGTAAGCCACATCGGGGGGGGGGGGGGGGGAAAGTGTGCATTTACATTTGTGATTTATTTTTTCAGTTTTCTGTCACCTCCTACATCTGTAGTGCCAGCTTTCTGGCAAGGAGAAGACTTAGACATCCAAATCTCTTCAGGTAGGAAGCTTCTGCAATGATTCATTCCTATTTTTTCCATTTTTGCTCACTGTTTATCTTCCTTATTTTTCAAGGACTTGAAACCTTCTCAACCAGGGTCTTGACTGAACATGTACATAAATATTTTTTTTAGTCCAGAATATATTCAGTCCTGCAGTAAGCTATTCAACTTTCTAAGTAGTGACCTTAGCTCAAAAATAGCGTATATAATAACATGACAAACAAGCCAGGTCAGTTTTATGAATGGGTGAAATTCAAGTCCCTAAAAGAGATAAAAGCGAATGCTTGAGTGTGAAATATTTTTTACTAACTGGTAATTATTGTTTTATATTAAAGTTTTCAGAGGTGACAATTCTAATCAATTTAAAAGTCCTACTCCCCAACTGTAAGGTAATGGTTGTGAAGAATCTGTTTTTCTGAGCAGGAGGAAAATTGATTCTCACTACCTTAAAAGCAAACAAAACTGATGTCCCAAGACATCATGAGTCACTGCTGTCATAGGTACCATACTGTGTAATATCCTTATGCATATGATTATAGGTATCTGTAATTCCAAAAACTGGAATTAATCCACCTATTCCAAAATTGAGTTTTATGAAATAGCCATTATTATAACACAGGGAATCTCTCTTCAGTGGTTCAAAGGCACTGGTCAAACAATAAAGAGATTAGATGTAGTTACATTAACGGTATGAACATGCCAGGAGAAATCCATTGGTAAATTCTTTTATAATTGTCTAAGCACACAATAACACACAAAGTGCTCAACAGCAGACCAGCTGGCTAGTTCATATGCATTTGTGAATAATGAAAAAAAATATTTTTTTCTCATCTAAGAAAAAAAATGAAAAAAGATATTTGAAGCTGTTATCTGAATTGTTTTTCAATTACTGTTACTCAATCAGATGTACTAGAAACTTTAAATTACATTGAAAAGATGAGCCTGCACTATCAGTATAAAAAGCTTGGGGAGAACAGGCAAGGTAAACAGAAAAAACCATGCACAAAATTGAAGTGACAATCTGATACTGTCAAAAGATCATTATATTTGATATGGATCATTTGATGAGATAGAGGCCAAATTCAGCCCTGGGGTAAAAAAAGATGGAATGCCCAGAGACTGGAAAAGTAACAGCAGAATCTTTTATTTCCTTTTTATTTTGAAGCAAGAAATAGGACGTGCACTGCAGCTACAGCTCTCTATAAAAGGTATGAAAAACAGTAGTATTTTTGTCTCTGAAAGAAGCTCAAGGAAACACGCATCTATTTCATGTTTTATTTAAATTTCTCATAATTGTAGAATCATTTAGTTTGGAACTCCTTACCTAATATTTAGTTGTACTGATTATTCTTCTGCCTATTGCTATCACCATTAGGGCATCTGTCTCACAGCGTTGCATTTGTCTCAGGCTTCCATATTTTGTTTTCCCTCCGTCCCTTAGAGTTGTCTTTGAAAGAAGGCATGCATATCTCGTAAAACCTCTAACAAGGTAACACATTGAAAGAAGTGCCAGTCACTTAATACAGGAAGGGGAAAAGAGTTTTCAGCTGTCAAGAGCATAAAACACGTAGTAGAATGCAATAAAATAATACTGGTAAGGTCTTGCTTTCCTCTGCCCTTTCCCCCCACTGGTGACTGTTCTTTGCTGTAGTTCAGTTGCAATTGGAAAGCAATCTGGCTACATGCAACCACCTGAGGGAGGGGTGGTTTAAGCCCACACACTTCTCTGCAACCACCTGAGGGAGGGGTGGTTTAAGCCCACACACTTCTCTATCAGCCACATTTAGTAGTGGAAGAGTTGTGAAACTCCTGTGTTGTGGTCATTGAGTAAGATAAATTAGAAAGCAAAAAGGCAAAGTAGATTCCCCCTCCCCCGCCACCCTCCAAGAATGGTAGCACACTTATACATCTATGAGTTTTAATCCAGCTACCATCTATGGACTTAAGTTTTCAGTTCTTATGGTACCACAGTCCATAGAATTGTCTCTCTACACATTGTTTCTGAATTAAAACAAATTCAAAAGGGAATATCTTAAATATCATATTGTCTGTCTATTCTAGCAGATCCTAGAGTAATGGTGCTTTAAGCAAATTTTATCTGTAAACCTCAGGAGGTCACTATATTTATTGGGATTTTTTTAAGATCAATTTCAGAGAAGAAAAGGTAATCTCAAACCTCTGTAAAATAATAGGCTATGTAACAATACAATGTTTTGCTTGTACAGGAAGGAACTTGTTATATATATGACATAGAGCTTAGGGACTCTCTTAATTATGTATATCATTCTGTACAAATGAACTTACTTTGTGCACAGTAAGTGCAAGAATTACTATTTAAACCCCAAAATCACTGGGAAAACCTGTTACTCAGTTCTTGAAAGTTTATGCTAAAACTAATTTTGTTCCTTGAGCTATTTGGGGAAGAATTCTACAGACAAACATTCTACGTATCTACAGACAAGCAATTCTACATATCAAATTATGACAATTATGTACACCCTTCAGATAACTTTGCTAGCGATAATCTGTAGGGTTACTGTTTTTTTTGCCATATATTCTACCTGAAGTCCAATGTTCTATGCTAGAGGTAAGGATTCAGCATGGAAGGGGGTTTAGGTTATGTCTTGTAGCTACTTTCTGACTGCCTCTGGCCTATCCCCCTTAACATTTTCAGAACTTAGTTCAAAACACAAGTACTCATCAAAATAAGACTTCTCTTAGATGGCTGAAAATAAAACTATTTTAGATAATCTTATTTATTTATTAATTCATTCATTTTTAACGAGTATCAGCAAGCATTTCTTTTGTAGAGTTATCACCTTATTTGTGAGTGTTCATTTCCCTCCTATTGCATCACTCTTCTCCAGGCTCCTCAGACTTAATTCAGCGCAAATTCCTACAAAATCATTGTGTTTTCTCAGTGGTGAGAAAGGCACTCAGAGAACAGTTCAAAAGACCTCAACGAGGCCATGAAAGAGAACCTACACTAAAGCAGGCAAACAGGAAACAATAACAAGGACTTAAACAGAATTTAAGCTACCTGATCATAGCTTTTCCTTCTTCAAACAGTTTTTCTGGTGTTACCAGCAAAGTTAACTTTCCTAATGTTGTTCTCTGAATTAAGGCTATTACCGATTATTGTTTTCATGAACCAGAGAGATCGCATGGTTTTGTCAGAGGTAAACAGAAAAGAAGAATTTTGTATCCTTACACCCGCAGTGGTATGGTATGTGAACAGAATGGCTCCTTTTGTCATTTGTCAGCTGAACTGATTGAACCACAGCAGCAGTGATATTACCAGCAGCGATTGTTTTGATAAACACAATCTTTTACATCTGTTTTTATTTCTAATCAAAGGATAGGAATCACTTTTAAGTTCAAACACACAACTATATATATTTTCAATGTTTTATTAGTCTAATCATACAGTAGTTTGCTCACACAGTTTTCCAGAAAATATGACCTGGACTTTGTACAAACATCTCATAATAGAATTATTTAAATTTAGCCATTTAAAATTTAGGTATGTTAAACCAAGAAAGTTACTGACATTCCCACTATTACTGAGACAGTAAAAAGTGCCTCCAAACTGTTATTTCTCCTTACCACCTCTGCATTATGTCTAGGTGACTTAACTAGAAAGATGGCCCACCTTTTAAGTCACAGAGAAATTCAGACATTTTGAGAGTGTTGCTGAAGTGAAGATAAGCCATGTCCACCTCTCTCTCTTTATCTGCAGAGCAAATCACATCATCATAAAAAGATTTACTTTCACTAAATCTGTGCTGGCTGTTTCCAGCCTCCTTGTCCCTCCCATCCCTGCAAAGGGCTTCCATAATTTTGAGGGCTGTGGTGAAACTGGATGGCCTGTAATTCACCAAATACACCTTCATGTTGTGTTTGGAGATGAGACTAACATATGCTTGCTTTTAGGCAGTAGACCCCTTATCTCTCAGTCGCCACATTGCAAAGATGATGAAATGGCCTTGTGAAGTCCCAAAAAGTGGATGTGAAGACATCAACTAGCTCTGCATTCCCAGATGCACCCCATATGGGCCTAGAGACTTATATATAATTTGCTTTACTGCTCCCTAACTTAATCTTTCTCTACTATGCTACTAGATAGACTTTCGAGGCCTGGGAGCTGACCTCACCAGTGAAAAGCAGGGCAAAAAATAGATTTTGCTCTTGACCTTTCCTATGTGCTGCTTGATTTTTTTTTTGGTTGTGTTCTGTTGCCAGTGTATTCATAGAAGACAATTTCATTACCTGTCCTGTCCTAATTCCATCCTCGTGTGCCTTTGACAGGGCTTCTTTTTTCCTCCTTGGAAAAGCTACCTCCCAATACCACCTTCTGTACACATCTTTTTGGCATTTTGTTTGATGTAAAGGAGACCAATGATGCCATAAAGCTTATGAGTTGAGTGGGTGGTTATTCCTTTTTTGTTTTGCAGGAGTAAGTCATACCAGTATCATAGCAATCTTCTTCCAAAAAGAATCTGTTAGCCCAAATCCAGTTATTGTGACCATTAAAGAGCTGGAGAACGTTGGCTATTTTAATGTTGAGTGCTTTATAAGAAAAGTTAAAATTCTGAGTTGGTGGATAATTTGATTTCTAATGTGCTGTGTTAGGCCTTACTTGCAAGTATATCTATACTTCTGAAGTTTTAGTCACTGACAGAAGGAGCTATTTCTAAACAAGCAATCAGTCAAAACTCCCTTGTCATTTTAAGTTAGATGAATTTATATATTCAGTAATCTAATAAATGCTCACATTTGGTCTTTCTCTAGTTATATATTTGATGAAGGCAGCTTCTTAAATCTTGTTCTTGAATCGGATAGTCTTTCTTTCTTTCTTTCTTTCTTTCTTTCTTTCTTTCTTTCTTTCTTTCTTTCTTTCTTTCTTTCTTTCTTTCTTTCTTCCCTCTCTTTAGAAGGGTGTTGATTGCAATTTACTGTATGTTTCACCAATGAAGTGTAAAATCTTGCATGTTGCATGGTAAGCTTTTCTTTTTTGGAATTTTCCTCAGGTCACATTTTATGGAAAAGTTACTTCGTTCTGAATCTAACAGGATACCTGTGTAGGAGGTGTTGGGAAGCTTGAAAATGTTTCCATAGATACAAAACAGAGCCATAGCAGCAGCTTTCAGCCAGGCCATGTAAGTGTTGAGATATTTTTCTAAATTAGCAATGGGCTGTAGGATTCTATCCAAATATATATTGGATATATATATGTTCATTTTTCAAAGTATTTTTTTTCCCCAGGGTATCTCCATTGGTGGTAATTGACACAGCTCCACCGGTATCAATGGAACTGCATGAGCTTATGAACTTTCATGGTGCTTCTAGATAACATTTTAAGGTAAGAGAATGCACATGCTTCAGTTCATATCTAGCCAGTCTGCCAAGCTTTATTTAGTTATCTGCAATGCATTTATTACATAAATGCTTGGCATTATGGATTGCTGAGCTTAGTAGAATTCATACTTAGTAAAAAGTTACTTGCAGCGAAGAAAATGAGAATAAACATGAAGTTAGGATACCTGATTTTTATGGAAGAACTCTACTTCTGTATTTCTTCCATGTTGTGCTTGTACTGCCAACAGTGTCTCCAAGCTCCCTTTTCCTTTCCTGTTTTATTTTCATGTTTACTACTCTTCCACTGCCTGTTCCTTTCAGATACTCTTGCTATCCTTTCATCATCCTCCTGTAATTTATAAATAGACTGCAGACTATTCACTTTACCTCTAGTATATCCCTGTGAAGACCACTGGGACCTCCATGAAATGAAATACTAAGCCCTGATATTAAGTTCATAATTGTTATTGTTATTGAATACCTCTGTGCTTCAGAGAGAGGGAAAAGAAGAAGAAGAAGAAAAAAAGTATAGGCTTATTTTCTAAGCTCCTCTCCCAGCATTCACTGAACTCGAGACAAAATGGATGAACGACACGAGGAAAGTTTATTTTTCACTCTTGCAGCTGCATGGCTCAGGTGCCCCGTGTTTGTCACAGCCCTGAGGGCACCGCCAGCACCGCCCCAGGCCCGGGCCCCACGGCAGCCTCGGGGCTGCCAGCCCCTGCCCCAGTGGGGCCGCAGCAGGGCCGGGCTCCAGCTCCCCACAGCCCTGCCCGGCCATGGCCCCACGGAGGTGCCCGGCTGCTGGTGGGGCGCGGGCTGAGCACTGCCTCCCCCCGGCTGCCCCAGGCTGCCGGCCCCAGCCGCACCGCGGGGAGGCTGTGTGGTGAGAGGGCAGGCGAGGAAAGCGCTTGTTTGCCTTCTGCAGGTGAGGGGCTGCGTGTACCTGCTGCTAGGTGTCTGTAGATATTTACCAGTATTTAAGTTCCCACTAAAATGGCTGAGAATCGTGAAGTTTACTTAAAGGTAGGTTCAACCGTGCTGTTTCTCCAACCTCCCCCTCCCCCCCTTGTTATTTCTAACCTTGCAAGGCTCTTCCCTGCCAGAGCTATTTCCAGTGATCTTCAGTCTGAGGGACAGTGCGTTTGCAGTGCTCTTCTACTGAGCAGGTTCTTCTCACACAGCCACTGGCACTATGAGTGTAAAGAACGAGCATTTTCTTCTGCCTGTGTCTTTAGTTAGCACTGCCTCTGCCTGTCCTGGCACAGTTTGCTCCTATAATCTACATAAGAATACATTAAATTCTTAAACTGTCAACAGACCAAAGCCATTCTGTCTTTAGATGTGGTTTTCTCTGTATTAATCATAACCTTATGTCTCATACCTATCTAAATTTAAATAGCATTGCAGCTAATGGTAAATGATCCTGAAAGCACCTACAAGGTGCTGCTAATACATCAATCCTCTGCAGAATGTCAAAAGAAGACAGGAGAGGACTGGGAATCTCTACAGGTACAGTTCAGTAAATTAACAAACTCTTACTATCACAAAACTGATTTTTTTTTTTTCCTCTCTTATCTTTTGTGGTTTCTTTGGAAGTTTCTGATAGTTCCTTATAGCTAGTTTTCATGATAGAAATGCCATTTGTTTTCCACATCAGCCATTTCAATGAAGTTGTTGCATAGAGTTGTTTCAACCTGGTGGTTTTTGTTGCATAGAGTTGTTTCAACCTGGTGTTTTTTTGATTTTTTTTTTTTTTTTTTTTTTTTCTGTATAGTTCTGTGTGGGTTGGAACTGTATGTATGTGATGTGTCCTGAATAGAGTATCAACTTTTCACCTATAGGTACAAGGTCAATGACAGAAAGTACGTCTATTGCATGTTTTAAACTATTTTCTGTAATGTCTGTGGTTGTGTAAATGTTGATGGGTTTAATGGTGGGGTAAAATGCCAACAGCTTGAAATAGCGATGAGTGGGTAGATATGGCAGTGTTACTGCATTCCAAACAGTCTACAGCTTTCACTTTAAAGAAAGGAAAAAAAGCATATGAACATAAAAATGTGCATTAACATGTGGCCCTAGCTAAGTTCAATAAAACCCGTTTAGTCCTTACTAAGGAAAAGGTTTCTTAGTAAGCCCTGTGTTAGCTTGATAACAACTTGGATTTAACCTCCGCACCTCCACTGCAAAATAAGATGCAAAGGATGGGCTTTAAGAGAAAATACCATCTAATTGAAATTGTAGTTTTGAGAAACACTGTTCTTTCCCTGGAGCTGGAAAATGACTGGTAAAGAGTTCACGTGTATAAGGAGGCCACTCTTGTTTTCACTTTTTCATTCCATACTATGTAGTAAATGAATAAGAGTAGTAGAGCACAGCAAGATAAAACATGGGCCCTGATCAGAAGCTTTATTATAGTGTCAATAATGATATATTCAGTAATTTTTGTTGCCAAATGTCTTCTGTATGCATTAAAAAAAAAAGCATGGAACAATACACATTGTTTATTTTGCAAATAGCATATAATAATCAACATATTGTAATGTGTATGTGTCAGTGAATATTTGCTGTACAGCTTTACCTCAGGAACTCTCTGCCCTGGTTCTGTCAAACCAGACATACTGCCAATGTATAAAGTGTAAAGAAAGAAGAAAAACAGGATTATATGGGCAAAAATCATGCAAATTGATTTTTATATTGATAAACCTTTTTTGTTATTGGCTTCTGAAGTAAAACAGGTGAACCGAGATGCTTATAAGGTATTTTAATCAGCTCAGTAATTAGGATTTTTCACAGCAGGAAGGGTGGCTATTTAATATTTTATATGGATTTAAAACTCTCTTAGCTAGAGGTATTAGTCTTTTGTTTTATGCATACATTTGTAAAGATACAAACCATTATATTTCCTATCGTGTTTTGTGGGTCAATTTGTTCTATGTGGCTGTTGCTGAGTATTTTGCACTCGCTATACTTCTAGTAGAGAGTACATGAAGACTGTACCATTAGGAATGGCATTGAGAGTGTTGAGAGTGCCACCACTGAAGTAGTTGGCATTAGAACTATAGGCAAAAATAAAGCACAGGCTGTTCTTGAAAATAGGGAATAGAATTTAATGAGGACAGGGATGTCCTTGTCTAGATAGATAGGCAAACTTTCTGCATCCTTATATTTATTTGTTTCAAACTAAGCTTTCCAAGGTATTGCAAATATTACAAGCAACAGCATGCTCTATTATTGGAAAAAAAAAACAAAAACAAAACAAAAAAAACACCTCATCTTTTCCAGATTGGGAATGTGTTTCCAGAGCTACAACTTGACAAGATGACTCCGGATGTTTCACTTTCCCATGTGGAAAGCTGGTGGCATACTTTTTCCAATCCCAAGTAAAATATGGAAAGCTTGTTCAAACCCCATTTATTTTTCTGCCTTCAGGTCATCTTTCATGATGCTTGAACAGTGATATGTGATGTGATTTTTAGGTGGGAAAAACTGCAGTTGAACTTTTCAAGGTGTTTTGTAAAGTGCATAACAAACATGGTAAACCAAGAACTTCCAGTCTTCGGCTTTTGTCTAATACACGTTTAAGTCTGATTTTGCTTTGGGCAAGTTCTACTTGAAATTATGCATATGGATAGCATTTTAGTCTTTGTAAGTGCCTCTGCTCTCGTCTCAGAGCTTTCTATATTCTTAATCCATTATTGACATATTTTGGCAATTCTGTTTGTCCTGTAAGTGTAGCAAGAAATAGGAAATACTAATGGGTTCATTTTTAGCACTCAGTGCAGAAAGAGGTCAATGCTATAATTTTCCACCATGTGATGATAGTATTCCTGTGAGCATTTACTCCAGAAATCCTAATGCTAATGCATGTTCTAGTCCAAGATAACTTGTTAGTGTGTGTTACTTGGAAGTGAAGAACTTTCAGCTGATTAAGAACAGCATAGATATGTAATTAATGGAGAGAAAAAAAAAAAAAAAAAAAAACTATGTATCTTTTGCCTGTCTGGGAATCCTAACCCTTTTCATCATGCAGGGTTCTATAAAATGAAGAGAATTGAGAAATTCAGAAAATCAAGGGGGAACTGGGGTCCCCATAGACTCTGTAGATTTCTGTCTTAAACCACAAGAAGAGTTTATTTCCTTAAGTTGCATTTTTCCACCATCTAAAGCATAGGTGAAATATGCATGTGAATGATTCTAACCCTCTGAGTGTCTGGCTACCTTGTTTATGAGAACTGTGTATTTCTGTGAAGTTCTGATAGATTCATGAAAAAGATAGAACTAATCTCACTTGCTTTGCAAAATACGTTTTAAAGATGTTTTGACGGCTTCCGGATTAGTAGGTTCCTGGTAAGAGATTTCATTCTTTGTCATAATACGATTATGGGACTAACTGCCCTCACTAACATAAGTTCTTGCTCAAATTTGTACAGTGATATTAGCAAAGA